TCTAAGAAGTGGGGGGTTGGATGGGTATGTGTGATGTAGATATAAGACATAATCAGTGGTCTAGGAGAGGAATCGTCCAGACAGAGTAGGTGAGTAGCTTCTGCTTAGCTGCATGAAAGAGAGTAAACTGTAAGTTTTCCATCCCTGACTGCTTTTTTAATAGTGTTTTCAGCAGGGAGGGCTGAAACTCCTGTGGGAGTTCTTTTATTCCAATTCTAATGATTAAGCACAAGACTGCCAGCTTGCCCCTTGACCCCTGGCCTGGAAGCTTTACAATAGGTCACCTGACCCATTTATTCCTCTGCTTTTCCTGTTGCTCTCTGGTTTTATCACAACTGCAGGGGATCCTGGCAGGTGTGGCTCAGTGGTTGAGCAATGAACCAGGAGGTTGCGGTTTGATTCCAGGTCAGGGCACATGCCTTTGTTGAGGGCTCCATCCCCAGTGGGGGTGTGCAGGAGGCAGCCGATCAATGATTCTCTCTCATCATTGATGTTTCTATCTCTCTCCCCCTTCCTCTCTGAAATCAATAAAAAATATATTTTTTAAAACTGCAGGTCTGAAATCAATAAAAAAGTCCTGGGTCTCTTACAGAACCTCTTCCCTTCTCACATCTGCAAGGATGGCTCCTTCTCTATCTGCTTTCCTCTCCCCCTTTTCTTTTGTTCACCAGCTAACAGTAGCTGGGGCCAGTTTTACAAATATCTCATCTGTACTTAGGATTGGTCTACAGCGGAGGAGGCAGCGTATAGCAGGAGGGAAGCTGTGCCTTATTTTGAGGCGGCTGTGCTGACTCCGCATATTTATAACCAGCTCTGCTGTTTGTTTTGTCAGCTTCCTAGGATGCCACTTGGAAAGACAGGGAAGCCCTTCGATTGTGTGTGTGTGTGTGTGTGTGTGTGTGTGTGTGTGTGTGTGTTAGAGAGAGAGAGAGAGAGAGAGAGAATATGTACCAGTGGTCTGTCTGAAAAAGCTGGACGTGTCTTTGAGGAGAGTGAGAGATTGCCCAGGTCCCAGGGCCTGCAGATCCCATGAGAAGGGGCAACGAGAGGAAGTCTCCCTTCAGTCTTTCTGGTCTTTCACTGAGTGTTTTACTGGTTCGCTCTGGCTGGGCTGAACAGTCAGAAAGTAGGTTAGTACTAGGTAGGGGTAGAGGGCCAGCAGGCAGCTGGAACAGCAGACCAGTTACACAGAATCTGGGCGATAACATCAGGCATTGAGCCACAGTCCCTTGGACACTGCCATGTCCTGGGGGGAACTGGGTCTGGAACGGAGAGTGGTCTTTGTAGAGGAAGCCGCCACGGCTAAGAGCAGCATGGCGGATTGTGCCAAGGGGACATAATTGATGGATATTTCCCATTTTCCACAGAAGCCGGTAGTGAATGTAATGTGTTTGTGTGTGTCTGCATTATTAGTGTCGGGTTCTAAAACATCCAGGGTTCTGGACCTGTGCTTACTTGATTATCTGAGGAGAGTTTAGGGATCTTAATTTTTAAAAAGTGGCATGCTTCAGAAAAGGAAGCTGGTTCTCCTGGGACAGTGACAGGACACGTCACCAGTCCCTGTTTGCTTCTTTTCCTCAGCGATCCATTATCAGAGGTTCTCAACCTTCTGGCCCTTTAAATACAGTTCCTCATGTTGTGACCCAACCATAAAATTATTTTCGTTGCTACTTCATAACTGTAATGTTGCTACTGTTATGAATCGTCATGTAAATATCTGATATGCAGGATGGTCTTAGGCGACCCCTGTGAAAGGGTCGTTCGACCGCCAAAGGGGTCGCGACCCACAGGTTGAGAACCTCTGCGTTAGATGGTGGCTCCTACAAGATTACCACAACTTAAGAGTAAATTTGGGGAGGAGAGTGAAGGAGCTTCATTTTTGCATTCTAGTGCCTCTAAATCAGATCCTAAGTGGGGTCACTGTGTGGCGATTGGGTTCTCTTCATTCCTGTGGTTTATAAGAGCTGTAACAGTGGAGGTGGAAGGGGACTGGGTCTGGCAATATAAGGGAGAGGGAAGTTCATTCCCCGCTTCCTCCAAAAGGCTGCAGAGCTCTCAGGGTGAAAGTCTCCGAATTGGTGCCTTTCTCTAACCAACCTTTCTTTCTACTCGGTTACCTTGACTTTGAAACATACTGTTTCTATGGTTTCAGATACAAGTGAGAGCCTGGGGCAGGTGCTTAATTCTTAGGCTTGGAGCCTCTTGGGTTTTGATCAGATAGAAACCTTAACTAAAAGCTTTCCCTGGGACTGGGAATAGCACTTTGGGTTCTGACAAAAGTGGAGCATTTGAGCTCCAGCTGGTTTGACTCAGTGGATAGAGTGTTGGTCTGCGGACTGAAGGGTCCTCCCAGGTTCGATTCCGGTCAAGGGCACATATCCAGGTTGTGGGCTTGATCCCCAGTAGGGGGCGTGCGGGGAGCAGCCGATCAGTGATTCTCTTCCATCATTGATGTTTCTATCTCTCCCTCTCCTTTTGTCTCTCTGAAATCCATAAAAAATATATATATTTTTTAAAGTGGAGCATTTGAAGATTTAGTTCAGAATACTCTGCTCATCAGGGCCCTGCCCTGTTCCCCTCTCCCTTTCATGGAGAGGATCCTATAATCGTTACCTTTCCCTGTCTCTGCAGGACTCATCATTTTTATCTCCCCGGTCTCCACCTGCCTAACATCTCTGTTGGCTGCTCCACTGATGCACGATGAACTGCGAACTTCTAGCCACATGTAGTGCCCTTGGGTACTTGGAGGGAGACACTTACCACAAGGAACCAGATTGCTTAGGTGAGTACCTTTTTGAGGAAACAGGTAAAAAAAAAAATTTGCTTGAGTTGAGTTCTGTTAACTTTCTCAAGCCATGGGTATAAAAAGCACTTGGGCCCGGGCGGAGCTTCTTCCAGGGGTCCATGTAAGTGTTTGTTCTGTCCCTGAAGAGAGTGTGAAGGATTTGATCCGCTACTTGAGGCATGAGGACGAGACTCGAGATGTGCGGCAGCAGCTGGGGGCCGCCCAGATCCTGCAGAGTGACCTTCTGCCCATCCTCACCCAACACCGCCAGGACAAGGCGCTCTTCGATGCCGTTATCAGGTTGTTGCACCCCAAGCTCTTTAACTTGCACCCTGTGCCAGCACTTGAGGTTTGATCTGATGGGTTTTGGTGTTTGCGCCTGGCGAGGAAACTTGACAACTTCTGCCTCCTTCGTCGTTTCCCTAGGCTGATGGTGAACTTGACACAGCCAGCCTTGCTCTGTTTTGGCAGTGTGCCCAAGGAGCCCAGCTTCCGGCACCATTATCTGCAGGTGCTGGCTTACTTGCAGGCCTACAAAGAGGTGAGGTTCTCCTTTAGAGTCCCTGCAGCAGAACTGGGGGGACAGTGGGGAAGGAGAGGGTGGGAGCTACTTAAGGTCCATTCCTCTATTTTGTAGGCCTTTGCCAGTGAGAAGGCTTTTGGGGTCCTCAGTGAAACCTTGTATGAGCTGCTACAGCTGGTGAGTGAGTCTCCGCCTTCCAAGATCCCAAGGACAGTTAGCACCTTGCTCCTCCTTTGGGTAGAGCGCCAGTTGGGACCTTGTCGGGACATGCTGAGTTTAGAGACATGGTCCCAGTCTTGTGGACACATAGTCCAGTCCACCGTCTCTGGCTACCTCAGGGCTGATTGAGGTTTTTCTTTCCTTTTTCCCCGCCCCAAATACAAGCGAAAGTTCATTTAGAAAGTCACAGAGGTAGAAAAAGTGAGCCAGCTGGGCTGCATGGGCTCAGAAAGTAAGTTACAGAGGCTAGAGAAGGGAACTTAGGAGAGAGAGAGAGAAAGCAAAGGTATGCACCTGGAGGGAAGAAGAGGGGGAAGGTGCTGTGCTCCAGATAGAGAGAGTGCGTGCGTGCCCCGGGGAATGTCGTGGGAGGGGAAACATGCAGGTATACTCTGGAGAGGGTGAGCTCTTTTCTTTCTTTTTAGTACTGATCCTCCTCTGTGCCTCGGTCCCCCAGCCAGGGTAGATGTTGCCTGCCTTCCGCAGAGCGTCTCTTCCTCTAACTCTCCTTCTGACTAGGGCTGGGAGGAACGGCAGGAGGAAGACAACTTGCTGATTGAGCGGATCCTGCTGCTGGTCAGAAATATTCTCCACATCCCAGCCGACCCGGATCAGGAAAAGGTGAGAAAGGGTCTTGGGTTGTCTGAGTTCTTGTGTTTGGTTGGGTTGAGCTGCCCTTTTCTGTTTTGTTTTGTGTGTGTGTTTGTTTGTTTTTCTGTCTCCTGACAAATCTCGGGGGAACCTTGGTCAAAGAATGAGTTGGAGAACCTCAAGGCAGGGCCGTGGAACCCACTGGCTTCCCTCTCTCTCCTCACCCCTCACGGCTCAGAGGATCGATGATGACGCCAGCGTCCATGACCAACTGCTCTGGGCAACTCATCTCAGTGGCCTGGACGACCTGCTCCTCTTCCTGGCCAGCTCGCCCACCGAGCAGCAGTGGAGCCTACACGTGCTAGAGATCATCTCCCTAATGTTTCGTGACCAGGTGAGACCCTGGCCTGTGGCCCCAGTCCCTTTGCCCATGTTCTCTTCTGCGATGCGGCCAGAATTGCTCTTATAATAATGGCTGAATTCTCCGGGGGAAGGTGGTGACACATAGAATAGCCATGTCTTGAGTATGGGGTCCCATCAACAATCCTATTTTGTTCATTCTTTCTGCCACCAGTAGGAGTGGACTCAGAATAAGGAATGACCATCCCTCTGACTCTTCCCTCCTTGTTCCAAATGTAGAACCCTGAGCAGCTAGCAGGAGTAGGACGGGGACGCTTAGCCCAGGAGCGGAGCACCGATGTGGCAGAGCTGGAGATGTTGCGCCAGCGAGAGCTGGCAGAAAAGAAGACTCGAGCCCTTCAGCGTGGCAACAGGTGGGTGTTGGGGAGCTGCTCTCGCCATGTGCCCACTCCTTCACGGGAGTGCTGAGGGCCTGAGCCAACTTCTCAGACACTGGTGGCCAGATAACATTTTGCAGTTACAACACGCCCTGATGTGCTGATGAAAGAGAAATGGGGATAAAACTTCCAGAGAATTGAGGAATCACCCTGAATGTTTTTGTTTTTACTGCAGGCATTCTCGATTTGGGGGCTCCTACATTGTCCAGGGGTTGAAATCCATTGGCGAGAGGGACCTCATCTTTCACAAAGGTCTCCACAATGTGAGTATGCTCCCATCTGGGGTGGGGGCTCCATGGTGTGGAGTTGGGGAGCCTAAGGAGGGCCAGCGTCTCTGGAGGTAAAGATTCTCCGTTAGGAGAAACAGAGCCTCTGGCATCATTGTCTTTGCCTCTGTCTTCACTTTGGCCCAGTGGGAGAGGACTTCCTAAGTGTTTCTTTTGAGAAAACTGCAGAACCAGGGATGTGGGAAGAGCTGCAAGCAGAGGGTGGTGGTTAGGAATAATTATAACCCCCAACCCATACCCCTAGCTCCGAAACTACAGTTCCGATTTGGGAAAGCAGCCCCGAAGGGTGCCTAAACGTCGCCAGGCTGCCCGGGAGCTGTCCATTCAGCGCCGCTCTGCCCTCAACGTGAGACTCTTCCTCAGAGACTTCTGCTCTGAGTTCCTGGAGAACTGTTACAACCGGCTCATGGGCCTGGTGAAGGTGAGAGCCTAGGAAGGATGGAGTGGAGAGGTCACGGGGGTCGTGGTGGGCACGAAGGGCAACTGGGAGGAGCCTATGGGAAGCTGACCCTGGAGTGTGGACTAGGAGGTGGGAAGGGTATAGGATGCTCCTCAGAAATGGTGATAATGTCAGAAGAGGAGCAAGTTAAAAGCCTCTCAAGAAATCACTCCAGATGAAGGGGAAAGGAATGTGGAGATGCTGCGGAGGAGGAGAGAGGCTTGGAAATTGTGGGTCCTAGAAGAGTGTTATGGTCGTGTCCAGGGCCCCTCCCATTATCACAGGACAGGAGGAAATTGGAAGCCCCGAGGTCATGGAATGGTCTTTTTTCCCCTGGACGTTAGGATAACCTGCTTCGGGAGAAGGCTCAGCAGCACGACGAGACCTATTACATGTGGGCCTTGGCCTTCTTCATGGCCTTCAACCGGGCTGCCTCCTTCAAGCCAGGCCTGGTCTCCGAGACCCTCAGTGTCCGTACCTTCCACTTCATTGAGCAGAACCTCACCAACTACTATGAGATGATGCTGACTGACCGCAAGGAAGCTGCCTCCTGGGCACGCCGGTGAGTGGGGTGAGGATTGGAGTCAGCTGGACACATTGGCCAGGCCAGGAACCTGAACACCTGAACTCTGGATGGTACTTGCTTTTGCGTTTTAGGATTAAGGTGGTCAGGCTGGGGGGCAAGGACTGGCTGGCCCATTCTGGTTTTGATGACATTATTTTGGGGGGGAGTGGTACTGTTACCATGAGCCTATGTCCTAAGTTGTCCTCCTCTCTCCCTCAACTCCCAGGATGCACCTGGCTCTGAAGGCCTATCAGGAGCTTCTGGCCACAGTAAATGAGATGGACGTGTCGCCAGAGGAGGCTGTGAGGGAGAGCAGCCGCATCATCAAAAGTGAGGCCCTGGCTTGGTCTCCGATCCTGGCCTTCCCCATTTCTTGACCAGCATTTTACTCTTCCTGGTCCCAGCTTCACCCATCTCCTTTTCCTAAACTTTCCAGTCCAGTCCCTCCAATCCTTTTTCTACCCCGTTTCTAGACAACATTTTCTATGTAATGGAGTATCGAGAGCTGTTCCTGGCACTCTTTCGAAAGTTCGATGAGCGATGCCAGCCCCGCTCTTTCCTTATCGACCTGGTGGAAACCACCCATCTCTTCCTCAAGATGTTGGAGCGGTTTTGTCGGAGCCGAGGGAACCTGGTGGTGCAGGTACTGGGCAGTCCCCGGTGTGGAAAGCGATGGGAGGGAAAGGGGTCCTCCTCACATTTTCTGTAGCTTCAGCTGACCTGTTAGAACCACTCTGAACTAAGAGGGCAAGAGGTTTGTTGAAGAGACTCGGTAGTGGAGTCGACTGTCGTTTTCCTTTTTTTATTCGATCAATCCCTGATGGACCATAAATATCTTAATTCATTCATGGAACATTTCTTGAACACTTACTAGGTGCTAATAAGCACAGAAACCCTAGGGCGGGGGTCCTCAAACTTTTTAAACAGGGGGCCAGTTCACTGTCCCTCAGACCGTTGGAGGGCCGGACTATAGTTTAAAAAAAAACTATGAACAAATTCCTATGCACACTGCACATATCTTATTTTGAAGTAAAAAAACAAAACGGGAACAAACACAATATTTGTATTTGCATGTGGCCTGCGGGCCGTAGTTTGAGGACCCCTGCCCTAGGGGTTCATAATATTAGAGTTTAGTAATTGTGCTGCGATATTTTCTGGTTATACTTCTGAAGCACTGTTGTGAGATGGAAAGAGCCTTAAATTGAGTCAGAAGGTCTGGGATCTCTTCCTGTATTAGTTACTGTTAGAATAACTCCAGCTGCTCGCGTCAGTCTCCATAGTCCTAAAGTTGGTTGTAAGATTACCCATGAGCCTGAAGTGACATGTAAATGAAAAGTCTGGCACAAGAAGAAAACCTCAAGAAATTTGTATCCCATAGACGTTCAGGGTCTCTGCTTTGTAAAAGTTTTCCTGTGATTCTGTCTGCTAAAGCTTAAAGTTCAGTCAGAACTGGACTTGAAAGGGGCAGTAATATCAATGAGACTTTCCTAGAAGATATTTTAAAACTCAGGATTCTATTGTATTATCAGCAGTAATCAGGGATATCCTTTATTGGGTGTTTACTGTATGTCAGATGTTGTGCTAGTTTTCTTGTAATACTCACACCAGTACTAGGGCACATGCACAAAGTGGTTAAAAACTTGTTCAAAGTTAACGAGTAAATGGCCAAGTGTCAGTCCTTAACTCCAGAGCTGCTGGATTCCACAGCTCAAGCTCTTAACCTTTGCTGTGTTTGACTTTAAGTTCCTTGAATAGGGTCTGAACCTTAAGGACTCCGTAGTTCATCCTATTTGCCACACAAGCCTGGTTCACAGCCATGCCTTGGAGGGGCAGGACAGGGTATTGACTCTCCCTCCTGCTTTTCAGGAGAAAAAATTGCAGGCTGTTTTTACAAAGTGCTTTGCAATTTACAAAGCCTTTTCATGTAGAATTTCTTATCCTCATAGCAAATCTGTTCTACAAGCTTCTGCTTGATGTCACTGCTTTTAGGAAGTCCTACCCCAATAAGTGAGTCAAGTGCAGTTCCAATGTTTTGCTATAGCATTTTCTGCTCAGCCACATTCTAGGTCCTGTCCCCACTGAAATCTGATTCACCTGTCTCCCCCACTGGACTGTAAGCTCCTTAAGGGCAAGGAAATGTGCTGTTCACTGTTGCTTCCCCATTGCCTTTGAGTAGCATATAGTGGTCACTCTGTGAATGATTAATTTAGACATCTAATCTATAGATATAAAAGCATAATATGCAAATCGACCAGACGGCATAACGACCAGTTGACTATGATGCTCACTGACCACCAGGGGACAGACGTTCAACACAGGAGCTGTCCCCAGCCCGCAGGCCCCCATCGCCCGATTGAGGCCTGTGGGCCAACCTCTCAGTCCCTCCCCTTGGCAGGCAGACTCCGATGGCCCAATGGGGAATGGGGATACGGGGGTGGGTGGTGGCATGTCCACCAGGGCCCTGATCGTCCCGCCGGTCACCCCACATACAGAGGGTGACCAGTGGCTGTGGGGGGCAGGGCCGGCGAGCAGGCGGGAATGGCCAACCTCTTGGTTCCTCCCCCCAGCCGGCAGGCTATGATCACATGATGGGGAACCGGGAACCAGGGGTGGGTGGCAGCTGACTCGGGCAGCGCTGGGGCCCTGATAGCCCCGCCGGTCGCCCCACACACAGAGGGTGACTGCAGCAGCAGCAGCAACGGTAGGGGGCAGGGCCAGCTGCCGGGGAAGATCGGCCCTGATCGCAGGCCAGGCCTAGGGACACCACCCGTGCATGAATTTCGTGTGCTGGGCCTCTAGTTAATTAATAATAGAGAAGACATTGATGGGGAAAGGCTTCCTTAGCCCTCCTGCCATTCTAACACAGCTTTTTCCATAGAACAAACGAAAGAAGAGAAAGAAGAAAAAGAAGCCTGTTGCTTCTGGTAATGTTCCCTGCAGCCCAGGGGACCTGGAGGCCCTGTGGCCATCCCTGGCCGAGCAGCTGCAGTGCTGTGCCCAGGTAGGTGGTTGCAGAAGCCCTGTCTTTCTCAGGGTAGTGCTATGGGTCGGCTGTCCGGGTTTCCTTCTTCTCTGTTCCCATAGCCTTAATCTCGCTCTAGGATCCTGAGCTCAGTTTGGACTCCATGGTTCCCTTTGATGCAGCCTCAGAGGTGCCAGTGGAAGAGCAGCGGGCAGAAGCCATGGTGCGGATCCAAGACTGTCTGCTGGCTAGCCAGGCCCCACAGGCCCTGACTCTCCTTAGGTCTGCCCGGTAAGAACCCTGCCCACCCATCCTCCCGGATCCAGCTCTTGGCTTTTGGGGGCAAAGGGAGACTTTTACTATGTTATAGGTCCTTGGTCTTCAAAAGGGAGAAGTCCCATCTGAAGTACTGGGGCTCTGGACTGAGTACTAAGTCTTGGGGAGGATTTTTTTTTTTAATTGATCTTAGAGGAAGGGAAGGGGAGAGAGAGAAAGAGAGAGAGAGAAACATGGATCAGTTACCTCCCAATTGAACCTGCAACCTGGGTATGTGTCCTGACTGGGAATTGAAGCTGCCACATTTTGGTGTATGGGATGATGCTCCAACCAACTGAACCACACCGGCCAGGACAGTCCTGGGGAGTTTTGATTGGTCTGTTCGGTGGTTTTGTTTGATAAAACAGAAACAGAAAGTACAGTTAATGGGGTGGGGGGAATAAAGATAATCTATGAGCCAAAGATAGCCATTTATTAACATTTTAAAAAAATCTTTATTGTTGGGAGTATTATAGATGTTCCCCTTTTCCCCGCCCTCCACCCAGTTCCCACCCTGCCCCAGGCCTTTACCACTCTGTTGTCTGTGTCCATAGGTAATGCATATATGCATATAAGTTCTTCGGTTAACCTCTTCCCGCTCCTCCCTCCCCCTTCCCTCTGAGATTCAGCAGCCTGTTCCATGTTTCCATGCCTCTATTTTCTATTTTATTCATCAGTTTATTTTGTTCATTAGATTCCTTGTGCTTTTATTTTGATTTTTAGATTCAATTGTTGATGGACATGTATTTATTGCCATTTTATTGTTCATATTTTTTATCTTTTTTTTCTTCTTACTAACTACTTTTCTCTTGCTGTTTTTAAGATTCTCTCTTTGTCTTTAACCTTTGGCATTTTAATTATGATGTGTCTTGGTATGGGCCACTTTGGGTTCCTCTTGTTTGGGACTCTCTGTGCTTCCTGGACTTGTAAGTCTATTTCTTTCACCAGGTAGGGGAAGGTTTCTGTCATTATTTCTTCAAATAGATTTTCAATACCTTGCTCTCTCTCTTCTCCTTCTGGCATCCCCATAATGCGAATGTTGGTACCCTTGAAGTTGTCACAGAGGCTCCTTACCCTATCTTCATATTTTTGGATGTGTTTTTTTTTGTTGTTTTTGCTCTCCTGGCAGTCCTGGCAGGGTATTTTTTGTTTCCTCATATTCCAAATCCATCATTAACATTTTGATGAGTTACCATCCAGAGTTTTTCATGTAGACATATCATCTACAACTTCTTTTAAAAAAAATGAAATATTGCACATACTGATATATAGTGTTTTTTTTCATTTCTCAGTATATCATGAGCATCATTTCTCATCAGATACATTTCTATAATTGTTAATGGCTTTAAAACACCATTATTGCTTTAGCTGGGTGGCTCGGTTGGAGTGTCATCCTGTACATCACAAGGTTGCGGGTTCGATTCCCGGTCAGGGCACATACCTGGGTTTTGGGTTTGATTCCTGCTTGGGGTACGAATGGGAGGCAACCAGTCAATGTTTCTTTCTCTCTCCCTTCCTCGCTCTAAAATCAATTAAAAAAACAACCCAAACATATTCTTGGGTGGGCATCTAAAAATGGATTTAAAACATCATTGTGTGCGTATGTACATCCGTTTAACCATGTGTCAAACATTTAGATTGTTTGCATTTGTTCTTTTTTGTTTTGTTTTGTTATTCCTCACTGGAGGATATTTTTCCATGATTTTTAGAGAGAGTGGAAGGGAGGGAGGGAGACAGAGAGAGAGAAACATTGATGTGAGAGACACACATTGATTGGTTGCCTCCCCGCACATACCCTAACCAGGGCAGGCCAGAGATCAAGCCTGCAATCAAGGTATGTGCCCTTGACCAGAATCGAATCTGGGACCTTTCAGTCTGTGAGTCAACGCTCTATCCACTGAACCAAACCAGCTAGGGCTGCATTTGTTCTTATGTGATTTCATTGCACTGTGGCTTATGAGAAAAAATTTCCCTAGAGTCTTTGTTGCTTCTTTGAGATAATAGTTTGCATTCTCTTTCCAACTGACAAATAAGTCTAAATTCCTTCTCCCGCTTCAAATTATAACTCAAATCCCCTCTGGTTAAAGCCTTTTTTTCTCTCTGTGTTCCAGAGAGGTGTGGCCAGAAGGAGATGCATTTGGCTCTCAAGACATTTCCCCAGAGGAAGAGATCCAGCTGCTGAAACAAATCCTCTGTGCCCCGCTCCCCCGTGAGTCTCCATCCCCTTCACATCTCCCCGCTTCTAGCTCTCCCTAGCACCAGAGACCCAGCAGTCGTCACTCTTCCTATAGGGCAGCGGGGGCCAGAGGAACGAGGGGCAGAGGAGGAAGAGGAAGAAGAGGAGGAGGAGGAGGAGGAGGAAGAACTGCAAGCGGTCCAGGTGTCGGAGAAAGAATTTAATTTTCTGGACTACCTGAAACGGTGCGGACCGAGGACCGAGTGGCCCCGGGAGGGAGAGCGTGGGGCTGTGCGCGGGGTCTTATGCCGACATCGTCTCCTTCCCTCTCTTGGTGCAGCTTTGCCAGCTCAGCTGTCGTCCGAGCCTACGTACTGCTGCTGCGGAGCTACAAGCAGAACAGCGCCCACACCAACCACTGCGTCGTCAAGATGCTGCACCGGCTGGCCCACGACCTCAAAATGGAAGCCCTCCTTTTCCAGCTCTCACTCTTCTGCCTCTTCAATCGTCTGCTGAGTGACCCTGCCGCTGGGGCCTACAGAGTGAGGGGATACGAAGGAATGGGGGTCTGGAGGCTTAGGGGAGTCCTGGGGTGGCACTGAGTGGGGGCGAGGGCTGAGAGATGAGAGGACGGTGAGGGAGTAGGCAGTCTGGTGGAGGGAGCTCGGTGGGGAGGGATCGAAGAGAGTCTGAGTGAGGAGGGGCAGCTGGGAACAGGTGTCGAGAAAATACTTAAAAGGGCCTGACTGTGTTTACGTTGAGGCGAGAGGCCTCACAGCAGCCTCCCTCTCCCACAGGAGCTAGTGACTTTTGCAAAATACATCCTGGGCAAGTTCTTTGCCTTGGCTGCAGTCAACCAGAAAGCCTTTGTGGAGCTGCTGTTCTGGAAGAACACTTCCGTGGTTCGAGAGATGACCGAGGGCTATGGCTCCCTGGACGGCGGGTGAGCTCCAGGATGGGCTGTAGGGGTGGGTGGCACAGTCACCGAGTGTCAAAGCTGGAAGAGCGTGCACATCAGTTAGTGCAACCGTTTCCCTTGTGTAGCTGAGAAAAGAGGGCCTGCAGGCAAAGTGCTTCACCACAGGTCGCCCAAGAGAAGAATGGGACTGGAGCCTAAGTCTCCTGCCTACTCTACTGTCCTTCTCCTCTAGAGCTTCTTGGGGGAGGGGGAGTGGGGTGGCCCCCAGGGAGAACCTAGAATGTGCTGGCGAATCATGAGGATTCATAGAAATGTTTGGCCTCTTTTCCTTAGT